GTAAGCGGTGTCTACGCCAATCAAGAAGAAGAGATTCTGCATGAATGTGACTGAAATTCTTATGAGATTGTTTAAATGCATTGTGACAAAAAAGTATATGAAAATTTTAAATAAGACGCAAATTATTTCTTTCATTCAAAGTAATACGAGTATCCACCATGTGTAGTAAATTTATGCTAACAATTTTCCCAATTTTCAATACTTTTCATAAGCACTTTTGGGATGGCAATTTTATTTTGGTGAACAAGAAAAAATCACACGAAGCCAAATCTGGAACATAAAAGCGTTGATCACAATCGTGGCTCGATGCGATGTTGCATTATCATTGTGTAAAGTCCATGAATTGTTCCTCCACAAATCCGCCCGTTTTTGAAAGATGTACTCCTTATTGATGATGCACCAAACCAAGAATATCGAAAAAAGCAATGAGCATCACCTTGATTTTTGAGCGGCTTCTGCGTGGTTTTTTTGATTTCGGCTCGTTTTTTGCATGTGTTTGCATGTCAAACTCCGCAACTCATTTGTAATAATTTGGTATCGGCATTCGCACGATCCAGCATGTCCAAAGATACCTGTTTACTATACTCTTTTTGAAGAAAATTCAGTTGTCAATAAAATATATTCACCAAATCATTCCAACGGACTCGCGAGAGTCAAGCTCTCTTGCCATCTCTATGACACTTTCCTGCGATATCCTTAATTTTTTTCTCGACCGACTTTGAAGGCTTTGTACCACTCGTGTCTTGTCTTTTTGATAAAAACGATTCACCGCAAGCCTTTTCCAAAATAAAAAATTTTACACAAATTCTCTGTTCGATAGTTTAATCTATTGTAAAAATCGCAACGCACTACTGAGGTATACCGAACAACACACTGTTATTAACCATACCTCATATTCGCATAGTAATTAACGACAGCTCTACCAACTTAGCAAAATAATTTCTTTTTAATCACTTACTCGGAATTTTAATTACATCCTGGAGTTATTTTGTCAAAATTATAATATATTATATATCTAATGGCGAGGCCAATTCTGATCATCAAAAAATGAGCGCACGACCTGGAAATGTCTCATACTGCAATTTAAGTGTTTCATGGGCTGTATGACATGTG